GCTATTGCTGGTCAGTAGCTTGGTGGAAACAAATTAAAACTATTTTCTTCCCAAGACAATAATAACACTAAAGCAATTTGGGATTTTTTTTTTTCACTCGAGAATGGGGAAAAATGCAGACCATCAAGCTTTTTTCAAAGCTAGAAACTGTAATTTTGAGAATTGCACAGGAACCCACCTAAATTTATTTAAAATCCTTGTACGCTGTTCAGACTATATTTCTACAAGTGCTCTTCTAAGCATTTGTGCTTCAAATGCTTTGTTCCACACAGAAACTGGTTTGATTTCACTGGAGGTGAGAATCCGTATTTGCCAAGTCTTTTACTGTCTCAAACACATTTTCTTGGGGCTTCACAGCTTCATTAGAAGCTTCACAGAACCGAGGTGGCGCAGTGGTTAAATGCAGCACTGCAGGCTACTTCAGCTGACTGCAGTTCTGCAGTTCAGCGGTTCTAATCTCACCGGCTCAAGGTTGACTCAGCCTTCCATCCTTCCGAGGTTGGTAAAAGGAGGACCCAGATTGTGGGGGCGATATGCTGACTCTGTAAACCGCTTAGAGAGGGCTGAAAGCCCTATGAAGCGGTATATAAGTCTAACTGCTATTGCTATTAATTCTCCTTGATGGCTTTTCATCAAGGTGGAAAAGCACGGAAAAAAACCTCAACTAACCTGTATTATTTCTGGCAACTTTTTGCTGTCCCTAATTTTACAGTGTATTAAAGTAACAAGAGTCTTTGAAATAACGTGGCAGATGGATTTGAAAGCCACAGCTAACATTAGTGGGTGGGCTCTAAATTAACAATATTAGGTCTCCATTCCCTGAAAAAAACTGTCCTTCATATTATGTACAAACAAATGCTTATCACCTCCTAACAAAAATCCAATCTCTAATCAGAGAGAGGCGACTGTTTCCTCCTAAGATTGGAAGTTTTATCCAATCCTTTTTTTCCTTTTACTGAATTCCTATTTTATTCTGTTTATGTTTGATCTTAATTTGTAGTCTGTTTTACCTTTTATTCAATTCTCTCCTTTCTTCCAATTTTAAAGTCTTACCTTTTTTTAAAAAAAATATTGTTATACTATCTTTCTTGTATTTGACCATTGTTTCTGAGGTGTTTATTAACTTTGCTGGTCATGGACTATGGTTAAATGAGTTTGGATTTGATTTACAATTGAATCCATATTACATTTCATACCGCATTTCAAATAGTATTTAATTTAATATTGGTATGTTTGCTTTCTTACAGATAATTACCCTGAATATTTAGCGAGCCTGAAATATATTTATGAATAAAATCAAAAACTATGAGGATTTTGCATCTTCCTATAATTCTGAATCATGACTAAGTTCTCTGATGTATCAGGGACATAGAATATAGCGGATTCTGTAAATCAAAGAAAATAGTAAATATATACCTTGGCCCCTAAGCATCTTATTAGAAATCTTCTTCAAATGAAATGTTGCCGTGTCTCCTACAATGAGAACCCAGTTCATTCAGCAATTGTTTTAAAATGTCCAACAATAATTCCATGCCATTTAGTCTCAGAATGGATTAAGACATCAAAAGACATGGCTACATTGGTAATCTAAGCCAGTGTTTCTCAACCTTGGCAATTTGAAGATGTCCGGACTTCAACTCCCAGAATTCCCCAGCCAGCAAATGCTGGCTGGGGGAATTCTGGGAGGTGAAGTCCGGACATCTTCAAGTTGCCAAGGTTGAGAAACACTGATCTAAGCAGCAGTTTCAGATAGATAGGATACCACGTTCCATCGGTAAAGCCTCACCATGAGTTACATTACAGCAGAGGATTCCCTTAATGAATGTGGAGTTTTATCTTTAAGAATGTTTGGTAGTTTGTACATCATTTTTTAAAATCATTCGTCAGATTTTGCTATATACATATGGCTCTATTGGGGGAATGGAATCCATAGACACTGTGCCCCCCCCAAAATTAAATATAGATAAAATTTAGGGAAATAAAACATAGAAGAATATGGACAGAGGTCATTTAGGTAGAAGGTACAATTAAAGAAATATTAATATTGGAAAATTCTTCGTAATGTCTGATATTGTTCTATTTTGCCCAATGCTAGCTCCTTCAAGAGATTTATTTATTTATTTATTATTTATTTATTTACTAGACTTATATACTGCTTCATAGGGCTTTCAGCCCTCTCTAAGCGGTTTACAAATTTCTTTTAGCAAATTGAGTCAGCAACTTGCCCCCACAGTCCGGGTCCTCATTTCACCTACCTCGGAAGGATGGAAGGCTGAGTCGACCTTGAGCCGGTGAGATTTGAACCGCTGAACTGCAGATCACAGTCAGCTAAAGTGGCCTGCAGTACTGCACCCTAACCACTGAGCCAACTCGGCTCTTCAGATTGCAAAAACTAGCCCAGGAATTTGTAACTGGAGTTAGATCCACTCCTGTAAAAGAAAAGCTAGTGAAGGACAGGATTGCTTGTATAGTCTAATATATCAGTGTCTTTTAAAAAGATAGGTGAGATGAACAGAGGATGTATAAGGTGGGAATACAAGGAAGGAAGAATATTAAAAGAGGTCAACCTGGTTCTGTATGAATGATAATTTCTGTTACAAATAGTGGTTCATAAAAAGTTTTGTGAGTCTCATCCATCGTCCGCATTTGTAGATGTAGAAGTGATCTGTGAAAAAAGCTTTGCTATTTCTTTTAATATTTGGTTGCACCAGTCTTCATCGGGACACAATGCTTTCTTTGCTGCACTTCATGCTTTTAGCTTATTTTTTCCCACGTGTAAAAACTTCTCAGTGTGACAGATTCATTTCTCATTTATTCTCAGCAGCAGGACGCTGCATCTTTACGTGCTTGATTTCTGTGCTCCTTGCTGCAAATGCTGGCTTTAATGATGAATGTAATAATCGTGGCTTTGTTGCTTCTAATTACTTGACTCTGGCTAAAGAATCAGAAGCAATACCTCCATAGGCACTCAAAGAGGTGCAGAATACTTTGATCCTGACCAAGTTAATCCTATAATGCATTAGAAAGATATTAATCCGAAAGGATTCAAGCACCGTTTGTATCAATAACCACATTACTGAAAACACAGACCTAAACCCAAGATTACTTGATTAGGATGGTGGTTTTTTTTAAAAAAAAAAAAAATTCTTGTGAAATTGATGGTATAATTTCTGAGCATCCCAGATAGTTTTTAAAGTTTGCCAATACAATCAGAAATAGATTGAACACAACTTTCCAAAGCTGTAACACTTCAAAATATAACTGTTAATGTTCCATAGCTGGAAAATTGGCAGGTCAGGGAGAAGGATGGGTGCCGTTCTTATCTGACTTTTTACTTTTCACAAGTAGCTTTTGACAAAAGGAAAATGCTGAGATTTGGAATTCACCAGCTGTGGCCTAAAAGTAAAATGATCCCAGCAGGACTGATCTTATCCAAAGGCACAGCTTGGCTAAAGAATTAGATGTTCCAGTGTAGCCGTTTTCTACTATTCGCAAGGGCCAAGTCCTTCCATCAAAACGATTTTCCATTTGGGAACCATCATGGCTTCCCTGCATGTGTCTGACATCGTCAGTGTATGCAAACAAACAGCCTCATCCCATAATGACACCTGTGCCTTCAGTGGCACAGATTGGCTTTGGGTAAGGCATTCAGACAGAGGGCTTCCCAAAGTTGCCACAAAGCATCTCTCTTCAACTCATGAAAACCACCTTATCTTTTACAAGCCCCGCGGGGATGTTTTGGAAGCTGTTCCCATCCATTTCATGTGCCAAAGTGGATGGCTGTACACAGTGGTGGGATTCAGCCGGTTCGCACCTCTTCGGGAGAACCGGTTGGTAACTTTCCAAGCAGTTGGGAGAACCGGTTGTTGGAAGAAATCTCCTTTCGGTTTTTTCCCACTTTCCAGGGCTAATCCTGTAAGGAAGGCAGGAAGGAAACATTCTGGTGTTGTTTCTAGAATAATCTTTATTGCCCTGTTTACAGAAACTGCCTCTCCTGTTAGCCCTTATCACATTGTAACAGCTAAGGTGAAGCGTCCATCGACGTGAGTGACGAGTTGGCTACGCCCACCCAGTCACATGACCACTGAGCCCCGCCTACCCAGCTGGTCATTAGGCAGAGAACCGGTTGTTAAATTATTTGAATCCCACCACTGACTGTATAGAAGGCAGATTGCTTTCAGAGCAACCGCCGGATCCTTTAGAAACACACGGCTGCTTTAAATGGTTCGAAAGGAGATCTATTTTATTTATGCCTCTACTTTTCATAGAAGTGTGTTATGATCTAAGGCACAACATATGATCTCACACATATCAAGATGCTGCAAGTCAACGTGCCCAGTATTTAAATTGGTTATTAGGGACAGGGGGGGAAATCACAGGAGCCCTTGTATCATCCTTGGTAGTAAGAATACAAAAGTAGAACTAATAGCTGCCATGTTAGGACCCTTAGTATATGTATTGAGTATGGCCACACTAATGGTAGAGCTAATGCTCTTCTTTCTTAAAATACCTTTTCAGGAAAACAGCCAGTGCTTTTCACATTGCTGTTGTGTTCCTTAACCAAGTTTGCAAGTTTGCAAGTTTAATAACATTTATATGCCGCCCAATCCCGTAGTTTAGTTTAGTTTAGTTTAGTTTTGGTTTATTTGTATGCCGCCCTTCTCCAGGAGGGACTCAGGGCAGCGAACAACTCAAAGGGGAAAGGGAACATAAACAACAGTACATATAATTAAAATACACGAAAATCACACAGCCATACCAGTCGAGGGGGGAGGGGAACTCATCAACCCCAGGCCTGCCGGCACAGCCAAGTTTTGACGGATTTCCGGAAGGCCTGGAGAGAGGTGAGGGTCCGGCTCTCCGCGGGGAGTTCATTCCAAAGGGCCGGAGCTGCTACAGAGAACTGTACTCCGGGCGGCTTACAGTACAGAAATAAATAAAAAAACCAGTTGTCTGATGTTGATTATGTCTTTCTCTTTCCTTCCCACTCCACCTTACAGCAAACGTATGCGACAATGAACTTCAAATTTGCCAGAATGGAGGGACATGCCACAACAATATACGTTGCCAGTGCCCGGAAGGCTACACTGGTGTACTGTGTGAGAAGCGGAGTTGTGATGTGGATCCAGATGGCTGCAGCGAAAGTTCAGGGCAAGGGGCAATATCGATACAAACCCTTCTACTTCTACTATCACCAATTGCTCCATTGGGATTAAGTGGGCTTTTTATATTTTAAGCTACGCCGCTCGGGAGACATCGGCTTCAGACTGCTTTGCGAGAAAGGTGTCCAGAAAATAAAGAAAGAAGGAGGGAAAAAAAACAGATGCAAATAAGAATTTTCAAAATAAGGGGGGAAATTATGACAATTTTCACACATATATAGACTAAAGAAAAAGGCCTGAACTGAACTAAGCCATATGTAGAACCCAACCCGACCAAGACTGTTACTTCTTGGCTGACGCTTAAGTGAGACAGCTGCCAATACTATTACAACTACTCAACACGACGGCTGCAGGCACTTACACAGGTTCAAAAAAAGGCTTGGATAGCCACCCCCCCACCACCCCCCGGATGGAAATCCAAAACAGAAACGACAAAACAAAACAAAAACAACACAAAAAACTTGCTCTTTCAAACTGGTACGCCACCGTACCTCTTCCCAGTGTGTGGACCAACCAAATAGAAGCATTCTTTGCTGTCAGTGCATTGTGGGTATAAGGAAATCTGTTTCAAAGCTGCCATATTGGCCTGCTTCAGCCCCTTCAAACCCCCTTTCCAACTGTGCTTTAGTGAACGTTGCTCTGTAACCTTCGTGGGTTGAACGATCTCTTTGTCTGATGTTAGTAACGCACATGTGTACCAGCCCCCAGCTCAATAAAAACTCAAGACGGTCATATCCTTGTATATCTTAGAAGCACTTTGCCCTGTCGGCAGAGTGCTTCCCCCTATTGTACAGGAGTGGCAGTAGGACAAAACGAAAGTATATTTATCCTTTTGTAATCAAATGAAGTTATTTTTCTTGACTAAACGTAAAGCGTAGATTTTTTTTGTATTCTTGCCAATTTGTGTTAACAATTGAGTCATTGTACTTTAATCCTAATCAGATGAGGGGGGGGGAGGGGAAGATATGATTTTTTAGTTCGTTCTCTTTTTTTTCCTTTTTTTTTTTTAAAAAAAAATATTCATTTAATTGTGCAGAGATTCCTCTGTATGGCAACGTGCTGGCATCAAAGAATATCAGTTTACATATTATAGCAAGTGTAATGAGATACCACCAAAGGACATTCTAAATGTTTTCTTGTTGCTTTAACACTGGAAGATTTAAGAGAATAAAAATTCCTGCATAAACTATTTCCGGGGATTAGTACTGCAGTTTCTTGATATTATTTCACCAGGTAGAAGACAAAGAAGTTCCAGTCCAGATTTTGTGCAAGCACAGCAAAAAGTTAAATCTCCATGCAGTCTACAGAGATTAATTAAGAGTGACAATAACACGAGATCAATCGTTGAGGTCAGCATTCACTGGATAAACTCCAATCAATTCAAGTTAGACTGCAGTCCTAACTGAGAAGTAAAACCCACAGGCATTTCATAGGATGTTACAGTATTCTGAAAATTGCGTTTTCAAAATATTTATTGTTATAATTTCAGTTGAACTCATCTATTCATTTTAAAGTCTATGAGCAGAAGTCAAACATTGTGGAAATAAGTTTTCCATTTGCATAACAATACTTCTAGCTTCTTTCTGCAACTTCCCACATTTTCTAAACCTGCTAACCTTTTTAGAGCAAAACATGACTCTCTTTTCATCAAGGCCAGGATTTAACACAGTATTATCATCGCAGGTAATTCAGATGTTTTATGTTGAAGCTCTCCCTCCAAATTCCAAATTCGGCATTACCGTTTAATGTCAAAACTCCGCTTTCTGTTATTGGTTAAGTGAATGAAATTATGATACCTTATATCATTATGGTTTTAAGGAATAACTAGAGCACGAAGAAGAAGGTGGTGGCTCAGTGGCTAAGACTTGTCAATCAGAAGGTTGGCAGTTCAGCGGTTTGAATCCCTAGCGCCATATAATGGAGTGAACTCCCTTCACTTGTCTTAGCTTCTGCCAACCTAGCAGTTTGAAAGCATGCAAAATGCAAATAGAAAAATAGGGACCACCTTTGGTGGGAAGGTAACAGTGTTCCGTGCACCTTCAGCATTTAATCATGCCGGCCACATAGAATAGAATAGAATTTTATTATTTGTATGCCGCCCTTCTCCGGGAGGACTCAGGGCGGCGAACAATTCAAGGG